CCCCCGAGGAAGTGCCGAAACCTACCAGCTGCAAATTCCCCGAGACATTTTTTTTCTTTTTTCAGTAAGCATGCTCTGGTTTGACTAACTCGTTTGTTTTGTTGTTGTTGTTGCCGTTGTTGTTGTGGTTGTTGTTTCTGTTGTTACTGCTGTTGCTGTTGTTGCTGTTTTTGTTTTATTTTATTTTTTATACGGCAACATAATATCAACAAGAGGTGTGCAACCTCTCAAACAGTGATATAGCACGAATAATGTGGTGATATTTTCATGAGTTTATCCCGTCATCCTTTATTTCTTCCTCATTCTGTACTTTTACCAACTTACCAAGAACTCTACCTAGGAATCGCCCTATCTATATTGTGTGGTACGTCAACCCATACAAAGCATGCAACGATGCCAAGAAGTAAATTGTTATCTATACCTTTGCATGTATATTAGTCTGTGTCTTTTCTCCTGCATTTTCCATTCTTTTTAACTCGGAAGCTCTTGTCCTTTTGGCCCCCCTTCAAAAGAGCCTATTTACAGATGTAACTCATGAACTAAAAATGGATTGACATTCTCTTTTGTATTTCACTCGTGAGACTTGGGTCTTCTGTACACTTTTCACATAGGTCATTCCCATACCCTCGAGAGCCACTTATTCTTATTAGATCTAAACCTCTGTATTTCGGACGTAGTATGTAGGTCTGCTATGCAACGTATATTATGATCTTACTTCCTTCCTCCTTCACAAGAAGAATGTGTTAAGGTTGAGAGTGGGAGATTGATATCAGCAATGTGGTGTGGTCTGGCCTTTATCTTTTTTTCTGCTTTATTATTATCATCATCATCATCATCATCACCATCATCATCATCATCATCATCAATCATCACCACCATCATTATTATTGTAAACAGAAAATATAAAAAGGTTGAGACTTGGTAGGATTTCCAAAACATTTTATAATACATGTACTACTGGCTTCGTCGGGAACATTAAAAAATCAATACATGTATTGATGACTGTTAAGTCATCATCACCATTATAATAATTATTATCATCATGATCATCATCATCATTATCATCATTATTATCATCATCATCATCATCATCATCATCATCATCGTCATGAGCAGCAGCAGCAGCAGCCTTACCTTTTCACTGTTGGTTGGAGGGTGCCACTAGTGGGCCTTATATGAAAACGTTTTATCTTTACTATTTTTGTGTCTGTCTCCATGTTATTTCCCTGCACTAAAGGACCGGTATCTAGTTGTCCAGCTTCTTTTTACTCAAACTAATACTCAAATTGTACCCTTTCCTGACGACAGGTGGCCACTGATGAGCTAACATCGTGTAAACTACGCATTAGCAGCACTCAAAGTGTGAGCTGCAGTTTGGGAATCAGTGACAGGGGTGGAAAAGTGTGTGTAGGGAGGGGGGAGGAGAGAAAGAGAGAGAGAGAGAGAGAGAGAGAAAGAGAGAGAGAGAGAGAGAGAGAGAGAGAGAGAGAGAGAGAGAGAGAGAGAGATCATTCAGACTATTCAAATCTCTCTGTTGCTTGCATTGTATTGAACCTGTATTTAATCTCATTTCCGCTCACCGTTATGAGGACGAAATTAGTAGAATTCGAGCGACGGCTCAGGCGGCAAAAAAGGGGGAACTCGTGAAAGCGGTGTAGGGGAGGGGGAGGCGAGGTGCTCCCGGGGGGAGGGGAAAATAGAAAAAGGGGGGGGGGGATAAAATCAGCCTCTCGCGAAATTATTCCTCCCTTCCCTCCTTTGCCCTCCTTTTACCGGGCGGGGGAGTCATATCGCCTTCTCTCTCTCTCTCTCTCTCTCTCCCTCTGCTCGCCTCGCTGTTGTAGTAGCGGACGATGTGCTCGCAGAAGCAATCAGCCTCTCTCCGTTTCTATGGCAACACGATTCATACGTCACTGTGCGTGAGCGCGCTGTGGTTCTCAAACAGAAATGGTATTCTGTGTTGTATTATATTGACAATGTATAAAAGAACCCCAAGTGAACAAAGAGGACATTTTGAGTAAGAAGGTCTCAGCATATTAAACAAAGTGCAATTAATGTGTCCGCTGGCGATAACTCGGTCTTTCCTGCTTTGAACTCTACCCGCTAATATCGATCTGAATAGCAGGGTGCACTTCAATGCTTCAAGGTGACTTCCTTTACCACGGTACCCCCCTTTTCCCCGTTCGTCTCCCACTCCTATCTCGCTCCCTTCACCCGGGAGCGCGTGCCTGAAATTGTATGCTTACTACAAACGAAGGCAAAGTTTTCTAGGACCGCGAGAAATGATGAAGCTCCTGGGTAAATAGCACCCGACTCGCGTTTACAACACCCCCGACGGAGGCAAAGTATAGCGGGTTTTTTTCCCCTCCTACTGGAAGGGAAAGAGAGAGAGAGAGAGAGAGTGAGTAGTTCGTAGGTCGGTGTGCGTGCGCGTGTCTAGGCTACAGAAGCGCGCGTACGTGTGCGTGTGCGTGCGCGAGTGTGACTGTGAGCGCATTTCTCCCCCTGGACGTGTGGACGGTTTGTCGGACCATTTTAACATTTTTGTTCTTGAAAATGGCCGCTATTCCGCTCGGAGTTCCAGAGCAATCAATACATTGGTAGGAGAGGGAGAGAGGAAGAGGGAGTGAGAGAGGGAGTGAGAGAGAGATAGGAAAAGAGAGGAGGGAATTCACAACACGTCAATACAACACAACTGACCACAGTATCTGCTACAACATCAGCATCCGCAGCAACAGCAACAGCAACAGCAACAGCAACAGCGGTGTTGCTTGCAAGCGCTTTGTGGTGCGATCTGCGGATGACTTTCGTACGGAAGAAAGAGCTGAGGATTTTTGTAAAATATGGTAAATATTACACTCGTATGTTTGTGTTGATAGTCATATACTTTTGGTGGTTAAAAGATAGCTACTAAAACCCTAAGGTGAAAACTTAAGCTTGTAACTGGTACCTGGAATATGTTTTGAGTCTCAAGGGATAGATTTTGCGAGTGGTTTTCTTTCGTATATTATATATTACTATTTTGAACGAGATAAAACCAGTCGCGAAAACATTTATCTTTGTTGTTTGTGCTATTGTTGTCGTTATTGTTATTATTGTTTTTGTTGTTGTTTTTGTTACTGTTGTTGAGTTCTTCTTCTTCTTCTTCTTCTTCTTCTTCTTCTTCTTCTTCTTCTTCTTCTTCTTCTTCTTCTTCTTCTTCTTCTTCTTGAGGTTTTTGCTGTTATCATCATCGTTATCAGCAGCCAAGAAGGGAGAGGAGAGTTGTACGTTATGAAACACTTGATGAGAAACGGTCATCAATTTTACAACTTGAGATTTCTGTAATATGTAAACTGTTTGATAATCGCTAAGGTTGACGTCAATGGTATCCTCCTCCACTTCCTCCTCCTCCTCCTCCTCCTCCTCCTCCTCCTCCTCCACATCATCATCATCATCATCATCATCATCATCATCATCATCATCATCATCATCATCATCATCATCATCGTCTTCGAGCTTCAACATCTTCCTCTCTTCCACCTCCTCCTCCTCCTCATCATCATCATCATCATCATCATCACCATCATCATCATCATCCTCATCATCATCATCATCATCATCATCATCATCATCATCATCATCATCATCATCTTCATCATCATCATCATCACCATCATCATCATTATCATCATCATGCAATAGCATACTGCTTCCATTTGTATATAGTTTCTAGCATCTTAATAGGAATAGAAAAAGCTTTTAAGAACACAACCTGTTAGCTGCTTAATAAGCACTTTACGCGTCCTTTTGATAACACGGAAGAAAAAACGCCAAATCTTCAAATCTTTGAAATGAACAGAATACTCTGACTATGGAGTTTGCAAGAGGAGGGATGGAGAACACTATGATTTATCGCGGTTTCCCTGACGAAATCTATTTATCATGTCTTCTAACACGCCCCCTCAAACAAATTCTAAACATTGAACCTAGCCTTCAGTCTGTGTCGTGCTCTACGTGCAGATCTGTGCTGGAAGGGGACAAGGAATCCATAGACTCTCATTTTGCGTCTTGGCATTCTCCATTAATTAAAAGCAGTGTGTCTATTTTTGGCTTACAGGGGTGTTGCATATTTTCTGTATCGCGCCCGTGTTTTATCTATCCACGCTCACAAGGCAGTTTCTGTCTTGGGTTCCCTTCTGATGCTCCTGAAAGTCTTCTTGTTTTCGTTTTGTGCTAGCGACTTGCTGCATGTATATTTTTTTGGCAAATTCGCGTCCCAGATTATGGTAGTTTTACTTGTAGAAGAATCTTTCTTGTTAAGAAAAAGAATAGCACGTTTGCATTTATGCAGCGTTTTCCTCCCCCTCCTCTCATACTTTTACTCCTCCTTCTTGTTGTTATCCCCCACCCCCCTTCCACACACACACTCGGCACACTTTCTTGCAATCTGATTTTTTTATCAGATGTTTTTCGGACGATCTGTTGGGAGTTTCTCATTTTATTCATTGTGCTCGTTGCTTTTATTTATCCCTGGCGATCGATGTATACATCAACATGTTGACTCACTTCATAAATTCGAAACAACAGTTCCTTATGATATATTCTGAATCTCTCCAAGGTGCCAATTATGGCAGCGTGCTAGGAGTGACTGTTTACATTTACATCCAATTTGGACTTGTCTTTCCCGGGTTGTTTTCGGTCTGAGCTTGACATTACAATCTTCAGTAAGTATATAGAAGCAGTGCACTTTACGACCGACAGCTCAACGTTAAGACTCACGTTTTAGCCTACAAAATCGTTTCTTTTGGCTGATCTTCAAATAACTGAAGAAAGTTTGTCGCACTTACTGAGAAGACCCTTCGACATTGCTTTTGTTGTGCTAAGAAAAGGCTTCCTCACAACTCTATAATATATTTAATATGAAAGTTCTTTTTTGTTGTTAATATGAAAGTCTTTGTTGTTGTTGTTGTTCTCGATAGAATGCATAAGTCGCGTGTGGCTTCGGGCGTCGCTCTTCTATATTTTTCATGTCCTGTTTCTGTCTATCTTGCTTTTTCTCTGCAATAAATGGACGTTGTCGTATCGACGTGTTTGTCTTTATTCAAAATAAATTGGGATGTCGAGGATTTGGGAACAGCAGCTGAGAGTCCACACATTAAAAACTACTATACCCGGCAGATTAGGTCAGGTGGTCTAGTGGTTCTGCAAAATTTATACTTGCATCAGGAAAAAAGTTTGCAGCGGTTTGTTTGTTTATTGTTGTTTTTTTGTTTGTTTTTTATTTTTCTGTTTTTGTTTGTTTGTTTGTTTTAACGAATAGCCGAATTGTGTCAACTCTTTACACTGCTGGCTATTGTGATTTGATTGAGTTCACTCACGTCTCGACCAGGGACCATGGGATCTCGAATGAGTCTGTGCTGTACAGTAACACAGGGGCCTTACGCATTCTGAGTCAATACGGAGCGGGAAACCAACTCACAGTGCCGTCTCAAGAGTTGCTCCCCCCCCCCCCGCATCGGTGTTTTACACCCCCATCAACACAATATAGATCATTTAGAGAACGGATTTCCAACCATGTCTGTCAAGGCAAATCCGAGTTGAGAGGGATACAATATCCCAGCAGTTATCGAAGTACCCAGCCGCTACCCCACAGACGCCGATTCAGGAACGTTCGATTGATGAACATATGAAATCAGTAAAGGAGTAGTCTTATACGTGGAAGTAAACATGTCGTACAGGAACTTGATGGCTTTGAAACAAACTTAGTAAAGGAGGGGTTTATGTACAATTTTACAACTTCAGAATTTCGACCGCTCATGCAGGACCCTCAAGATGGTTTTGTTTGGTATCTATTCTCTTTTTTTAATTTCCGTGATAGAGAATTCTAGTTCCTTTCTGAGTGGACCTCAGCGGAGGAAGAACGATCGATCCAGGAAATCGTGAACCATTGATCTGCGGGAGGCACATGAAAATAAATGTCTTTTAAATAGCGGAGTATTGGAGAAATTCCTGCACGAACTACCAGAAATATAAC